GAGACCAAACTACTTCACAATGCATATTCATTAAATGTATGGGAGGGGGATAACACCTCCCTGCCTCAGAAGTACACAACAAAACTCTAAAACACCTTTCACGCGTGATGGATGGCTCTTCATAGCAGAGTTGGGACAGATTCACAGAGTCCCTCCACCCACACAACCTCATCAGGACCTTCCTGAGGCCAGCTCACCTATTATGCCTTTAAGTCTGGTGCAAGTTCGATGATGATTTTCAAGCATGAAACAAAACAGAAACACAGGTTTAAGGGTCACATTTCCACATGTGACCCAGAGTCAGTTGAGATATTCAGCTGATCAAACAGCAAGTCACTCTAACCTCAATGTCCTAAACTGACAAGACCTCATTCCACTACCTGCAGCTTAGACATCCAGCATCCACATGGACTTCTATCTATAGGAAACTTGAGTTAGAAATCAGTTCTACCTCAAAAAGTTGGCCCTTTTCCTGTAAGATTGCATAAAAGCCCAACCTCTCTAATCCTTACTTGTAGTAGATGTCCCAGTTACAACAGGATTGCAGACAGCATTACCAAAGCTTATTCAAGCTTCACCTAAATACCTCAGATTAATTTCCGTATCACAGCACTTCAGGACTCTTGGAGGCATCTGCAGAGCTGGACCAAAGCTAAAACCTCTAAGACTCTACACAATCGTGTTTTCAAAAGAGGTGTCTAGGCCTGCAGTCTATAAAGGAGTTTCCACAAGGTTTTGTCTTACCAGGTAAGACTGTCACCATATCAAGACATATTAAATCAGGAACTTTTTTTACATAAGTCTGTAAATAACAAAGAAATTTATTCAAATGCACAACCAGCCTCAAGGAGAAACTGAGCAGAACTCCTGGGACTAACCATCTTGAGTTATTTCATAGCACAGACAAAATTCAGGTTGTCTTGTTTATTGTGTCACCTGTCAGGGTCCAGATAAGAAAAAAACCCCAACAAAACACTTTTAGACCAACTATCTGTAGCATGAGATTAAGCATATTAAATAACACTATCAAGGATTAAGACAAAAGCTCCCAGTTAAAGGATGTAACTACAGAGTATCACAGAAAGAACCAAGAGCTCTTAGGTAGGAGGTTAAGCACATCACCAGGAACACTCAGCTATTTGTGCACTAAGGGAAGGACCAGAAATTCAGTGTTTTTTCAAAGTAAACAAAGATGCTTAAAAAAGTGCAATAGATACTTTTAAATCTGGTCTACCAGATGCTTTTCCAACAAAACCCAGCTGCTCTGCACTTTAGTTGAAGAGTTTCTGCTGCACTTAACCTGTCACCTTCCAGGGCTGTCAGAGGTAATTGCACAGGATCCAGCCATGGGCTCATGAGAATGTATCTGACAGGACAGGAAATGGGAGCAAGCATTACCATGCCAGGCTGATCTGATAGAGCTTGGACTGCCTGACCTGTGTTGAGGCTATTATGATTTATTCAAGGAGTCAGAGTTACAGAAAAGTTTTAAAGAAGGAAAAGGCTATGTAATATACATCTCAGTTCTAGCAAGCTGTCTTGCTTGGGGGCAGGGTACTGATGGGTTGTTCTGTTCACAGACCTCTTTTATAACAAAAAATTAGGATAGGATTAATAACATATCAATACACAAACAGCAGAGGCATCTTTCTTTCCCAGTCATCCCTGGCAGACACAAACAAAGGAATAGTTTCTGCTGGGAAAAAATCACTTATATTTGTAGTTAGCTTCATTTTCATCTATTACCCCGTTAAGGATTTAACAATTTTAGTAACTTCAGCATTTTTAGATTTAGTTTAAAAGCAGGACTGTTTATTTAGGGGACTATTCTGCAAATGAAGTTGATGCAAACTTGGTTTTTCTCACTACTTCCTGGTTACCAAAATTAATTAGACTAAACCCAAACTGGTAACCCAATGATTGTTTGAGATATTTATCAAGTATAATAATGATTTTGTCAGCTCCAAACAGCAGATTCTCAGGTCACTAACCCCATAAATATGCTATCTCCTGAAAATACAGAGATGTCTTTGTTCAGGATCTTGTGCAATAGGTAACAGCATTAGTGTGGACTGCAGGCAAATGTGCTAGAATGATGGGAGAACTCTGAATTCAATATTGACATGCAGAAGATTATTTTGCACAGATTTCATCCATGTATAAGTCTAGAATTTCATTCATCTGAAACATTTGTCACTAACACTGATCAGAAGAAAGAAACCTCAGAAATGAGAAAAATATTTTAAGCATTTTTCCAAGGAATTCTCCCTTATTATTTTCAACCAACAACACATTTGCAGCAATACCAACACCTACCACAGGTAAAATGGTCTAGGAAACTGCATACCAGCACCGAGAACAGCAGTGCAGAGGCACAGAGCATTTATGTGCAACAGTGTTTCAGGTTTTTATGAGGACCAATATTTTCTGGTAAATTCTGCAGAAGAGAATAACAGAAAAGTACAGCATGGAAAGTATCTTAAAGATCATCCAGTTCCAACCTCCTTTCCATGGGCAGGGACACCTTCAACTCAATCAGATGGCTCAAAGTCCCATCCAGCCTGGCCTTGAACATTTCCCGGGATGGAGTGCACCCACAGCTCCTCTGGGCAACTACACCAGATGCCTCACTGCTCTTTTAGTGAAGAATTTCATCCTATTATCTAATCTAAATCTCTCTTCTTTCAATTTAAAGCCATTCCCACTTGTCCAATAACTCCATGCCCTTGGTAAGAAGTCCAAGTGGTCCATCCATCAAGTCCACATCTCTGCAGTTGAGAGATCAGAGTGATACATGGGACAGTGTCAGTGCTTTGCACAAATCTATGTAGATGACATCAGCTGCATTTCTCCCTATCTACCAACCCTGTAACACTGTCAAAGGAGTTCACCAGTTTTGTCAGGCACTTGCCTTAGTGAAGTCATCTTTGCTATCATAATCAGGTAAACATCCAACACTTGCACTCTACATGCAGCTCAGGGGAACCAAGATGATTGGAATAGTCCCATATCTATCCCACAAATTTCCACAAAGCATCTCTAACTTTTGGGCCCTTCTCTGAACACATGAAACAGAAATAGGACTAGCACTTCAAAAATTTATTGATGCAAAAAGACTTTGTTCTCCCACATACAGGCATTTAAAACTCATGTCACTTACTGCAGACTACAGTACGCCAGGACAAGGTTCTTAGTTTGCCATGTTGAAGCTATGTCACTTCATACAATGTATCCTAATTTATTAGATCTCAAAAACAAAACCACAAGCCTGGTTCTAATACCAAGTGATAGTAAATTGCAGTGACTGGTTGTGGTTTAGGGCAGGTGCTTTTCAGAGATATCAAGAGTACCTATCACAATTTTGAGCTGATATTCACCTCCCAGACTACTCCTATACGAGAAATTTTAGTTTTTTGACTCTACAGAATCTTTAATGAGCAACCTTCAACAAATATCCATCTATACATAATAAAATGGAAATTTCTAAGAGAAGTTGATCCCCCAAATATGATGGTAAAAATATCTAGGATTTTCTTCACTCTGACAGAAGAGAAATTCATGTGAATAGAGATAACCATATTTTGCTTTCTGTGGAGCAGTCCTAGTGGAAATGGAGGAACTCACACGACATGCCTGTTCTGCACAGCTGTTTTATGTTGCACGCCTGGATCTACCTGGACCTAAGTTCAGGCTTCTTTCCATAGCACACACCAGGCTTTATTCCAGTTCAGTGTCTCCATGGGTCAGAAGTACTGACCAAACAGCAGAGCATCTCTAGCCATTCAGAATATACAAGGGCTTTCCTACTAGCTATCCCAAATAATTTCAGTGTTCAGACCTATAAAGAAAGTTGACACTAGATAAAGCAGAAGTATCTTTCAAAAGGCAGTTTCCTTTTTTAATAGAAGTTTGCCTTTCTTGCCCCTGAACTCAACTATCTACATCTCAACATTTAGAAGAAAAACATCCTGTTTGCAAACACTGACCATGGAGTAAGGGGCTCCTATATTTTACCTTCCAATCTTTATGTTTCTTTATGCTTGTATATAGCTCTACTTAGTCATAAAGATGACTTAAGTCATAGTTCCAAAGAGGTGCACACATGATGTGTCGCCTTGCACTCACTCAAGGAATATTTCACGAAACTTTGAACAGCAGCAAGGAAATCAATACAAGTTACCCTGCAAAGGCCCGAGAGAAAAACACTGATACTGTGCAGAAAAAAACCCCAATTATAAAAGGTTTTCCTAAACAAGAGGAAGGAATGGTGATTTTTTTTTTTTCTCCATGAACAGAAAGTCTTGAAATTTCTAGTAGGAAGAAAAAGCCATTTCAAACAAATTTAAAAAATGGTAATCTGATTGTCATAACATTAACCTTAAAATTTTAAGCAGCACCAAAATAATAAAGTTCCAGAGCCTACTGAATGTTGCATAAATGCTTCCAGGCAGCAATATTTTAGTGCAGGATAATACTTGGCACTAAAGAAGTGTTAAGAATTCATGGTGGGCAAAAATATTAATGAAACAGTCTCTACCCCTCCAGAACAGACTGCATAATTTAGCCATCAAGCTACAATTCATTCAAGAATAATCATGGCTGAAACTTAAGAGGATGAGAAGGAAACTTACACAAATAGCTCCTTAATGGTGCATTTTAAGCTGCACTTCCAGCGACAATAAGGAAGTTTCAAAGCCTGGCATCAGATTCAACTTCAAAATTTGTTTTTCCTTTCAATATTCTGAAGAAGATCCTGCTATCCCAAAAATATGGTTCAATTTTTGCTCTCAACATACCATTTTGTGTGACCAGCACCACTTTCCTGCACATTTATTCCAACAAGAATTACTTCTACCTTAGAGTATCTACAGAACAGATTGCAGAACACTAACAGTAGTGACTGGTAATAGTTTTAAATGTCACATTAAAAGAAAGAGTTAAGATACTAGTGAAATATCTTTTATAAGAACTTAAATTTATCAAAAGAAAGTTTGGCTTACCTTAGGGAATTGTTTAACTGGAATCAGAACTTTTTGTCCCAACTTCATATTCTTATTGATGACTACATCAATATACTTTTCTTCTTCCTTTCCTTCCCCTTTTTGGAATTTTTCAATTTCTGTTAAAGAAAAAGTTATTTTTTCAGTTTAATGCAACAACCTAAATGTTAAGAATCTTCAAATTAAGTATAAGTTTCAAAGCTAATAATGTATGGCATACATATTATTGTGTAATTAATACATGTAATTGGTTATACAAGGCCAATAGAGTAAAGCACGTTTCCCTTTTTTTATATTCATGTTTATATCAGCATGCTGAATAAGCATTGCAAACACTGTATTCATTTAACACTTAGTATACATTCTTTTATATGGCTCAAGTGAAAACTATTCCTAGATACCTTTAAGCATGTTTAAATTAAAAATACATAACAGTTTAATATTCAACAATTTTATTCCTCTTCTATAAATAAAGTATGCAGTTTCAATGGTGGCTTTCTACTGTGCACTTATAAGCAAATGTCAAGTTAATCTTTCAGAATTTCAGGAATGTAACTGAGGCATAGAGATCATACCTAAAAACCTGAGATTAGTGTTCTACCAACAATGACATTAGGAATGGGATTTAGAAGTTCAAACCCTGGCTTGCATTACTCTATTCATTTCAGAGAGACACAAAACTGACTCTTGATTATACTTTCCTCAAAATATTGACTCTCCAGGGTGCTAATGAAAAATTGCAGATTTCATTTCATTAGAGAGGATTAACAAGGAGCATACAGGGAGACAAACTGAAGCACTTCTTGAGGTATTTGCTGGATTGGGTCCATCATTCTGGGAGCTGCAGCATTAAACTTGCTAGCACACACCAAAACCCAACCCAATTCAGAACTGCCACATCAGATCTTCTTTGGGAATCTAGCACTTTTCCTTCACAAGCACCTCCATATACCTTGTTAATTTGCCACAACAAAAAACACCCTTCTACTCTACTCAACCACTAGAAATGAAGGACATTCATCAAGACCTTATAATTTCTTTACTGGGAATGTGGTCTTACGCAAAGAGGAGACTGTAATGAAAACTTGAGCAAAGAAACCAATCAAAAATATAGGCAAAACCAGCCTTTAGTACACTTTCAAAGGCAATCTGGTTTGAAATTAGGTCCAATGAAAACCAGAATAAACCAAAAAAATTCTAACTACGGAAAAAGATCCAAGCACCGTTATCAGATTTGTTTAATGAATACCAGTCCATTTCCATGTACCAGTACAGAAATTAAGATGCCAACATCTTTTTTATTAACTGAAACTTCCATTCAAGTTTTAATTTCACTAACACATAACAGGAAATAAACAATTTATCTAATTTACTGTTCAGTGTCTGAAAACTAAGAAAGTCAAACCAGCCTCAGACTATCTGAAGGTTTCTTGAAGGAAAATAATTCCCCACCTGTACTTTCAAAATTTCTTGTCAAGTCTCTACGAATTTTTTGATTCCTAAGGATTGTAGCAATGTAAAAATTCTGGAGGAGCCCTTTCAAAGCAACCTCCATGCTCAAGCATGTTCTTTGTTTCATCATGCTCAGTAAAAAAAAGCCTCCAGCACCATTATCCCACCAGCTAAAAACAACTGAAGAATTTTGTAATAGTCAAGATCCAGGTAAAAATGGAAATTTGGAAATGCCACAATTACAGACTAGGGAATTACAGGCAATTAAACAGATGTAAAGTTGTATCAGTTTAATTTGGAACTCATTTCCAGGTGAAAATAAGACTAAAATTTTATAGAGTGTGATGCTCCCACTCAGAAATCAGGTGACTGGTATCTTTCATACATCAAAGTTTCCAAATACCACATTCAGTTGTAAAAGAATAATACTATCACAGCATTCAAATAGAGATATACATCTAACACCCTTCTTTCCTCATGTAACAAGGGCAGTAGTGACAAAACTCTGATTTCTCTTGAAAAACAAGATTAGTTACTTAGAGGTTTTTATGTTTTACAAGTAAAAACACAACACTAATTTTTAAGGCTGCTGTTGGTATTACACTATCAGTATAAACATTCAAAGCTTAAAACTGACCACAAATCTGCTGTTCTTTAGCAATATTTTATACCACAAAATGCTGATAATTAAAACTGTAATAAAAATACATCCATTTGTTATGACAGGCAAATGCAGTTGCAACAAAATTGGATATTTCTTCATTAAATATTGATTTTAAATGTTAGGGCTAAAATTTGTTCCAAGTCCGAAAAGCACAATGAAACTCCACTCAACATTGAGTTCCATTAATGCATTTTGCTGTATTTTTTGTGACAGAGCAGTTCTCTAAGACCCCCATGTAGTTCAATTGATCCTAGTCTGATACAAGACCTTTACAAGTTCTCAGTCACTGCAATTACTGTTACAGTAAAAAACTTTCCTGAAGAATCTAAACTTACAAAATAAAAGTACCTTCAACAACAAAGCCCACCAAGTTTTTATGAACTGGTAAAGCTAAAAATTTGTTTTCTCATGTTGAGTCATATGCTGTTATCCCCAAATACACAGCATGGCATACAATGCAATCCCCCTGCCTACCTGAAAGTGAGAACCACAAATTTATGAATCAACAGTGGTTTGAGGAACTTCCTAAAAACTGCCAAGAAATATTACACCTGGAAATGAGTTGTTTCAGACACCTCAGAAGCACTTAAAATGCACTTGAAGAGTTAAGCACAGAATTCTACCTCAGTAACATTCTTCAGCTGAGCCAGCTGCATAAATTCCTTGAGATCAATAAACTGCTAATTGTATTTCCTAAATACTTTAGCTTAGAAAAGTTATTTGAATTAGGTATTTGAATTTAGGTATTTGGTTGCAACAACGTGACTAATGCTAAATATGCTCATAATATCGGACTACTTTAACTAATAAAAATCATAAAAAGACCGTTCTCTTGCTCTAGTAGATACTGAGCTTCAAGTCATTATTAAAAGAAACACATTATTTACTCCAAAAATCAGTTCTCCTACGCCAAGTATCTACAAACTTTATTGAACGTTTTATGCAAAATCCCTTTATTCTTTTACCTGCACTGTTTAAACAACTTCCTTTTTGCTTGAAGAAGCTACTGAAACCCATTAAGAGGCTGCAAAATAAGCTCTCAGCAAAATGGATCACAATTTTCCCCATTTGTTTTAAAGACAAATCACTTTACCAACAAATAGCCACAGTCCATTACCAAAGCAGTACAAAGCAAGATTAAGTAATTTTTTCCTGTTATGGTCTAATGTTAATCAAACTTATTTACGACTTTCTACCTCTTCATTGGTATTGTAGAGGACTTGAGTTTTGTATGAACGAAGTCCAGTCCACTGATCACAGTTTATCTCAGCTTTTACTTTTTTTTTATTTCTTTGAACTTGAAATCCAAGATGAACGGGAAATACAGCTAAGCATTAGAATTTTAACCATATCTGCACAGCTCTTGTAATTTCATTCACATACATCAAGCTTTAGATAATTAGGGAAAAATCATGCCAGATCACACAGGAAATCCAATCAGATTTTCAAGGTCAAATGGATAGGAAGATTTGCCTTTTCTTAATCCTTAGATTACATTCTGCACTGCTTAGCTATATGAAGCAATGCCATTTCCTAGATCACAAACAGTAAATAAACATGTGATTAAAGCTTCCCATAATGCTAGAGATTAAAATCTCATGTTCTCAGACCAAGGATGCAGCTAATGCAACAGGAATTTAACTCCATGGATTTTTTTTCTTTACATTTAATCATAGAGATCTAAGCAATGATTAGTCCTCAGTTAATTCACCAAATAACAGTGGTAGATACATCAGATAATGACAAAGTAGAATTGTTTCATATTATTCTTCAGTTAGAATTAATCTTCCTGGGGCAGAACTACTGGAATCCAGGATTCCAGATCCCTTGGCTAAGCCAATATAAATACTTGTGTTTAATGCTGAGCCAAGTGATGCCCTATTTGTCTGTAGTAAATCAATATAACAAATACAAGATCAAATGTCAACCTCAAAGTAAACAGAAATGTTTACTGCATTTGTCCTTAAGGCAATATTTCCTTTACACAAGATCAGGAGAAGCAGAAACCAGGTCAATTTGCCTGCAAATCCTTAAGAAAGTTCCTACTATATTTCCTGAGATTCAGATGTCTTACCAAATACTCCATAATATCCAAATAATTTTGTACTAACTTCTTCCTACTTCAGAGGGAAGAACAAGTGAAAAATGCAAGGCTACTCACGCATATCCACATGATCCTGGCTTAAGAGAACAGGGCATTGATGGAACTGCACTGCAATTGCACTAGAAGTAGTTTCTATATCCATTTTCAAAGTGAAGATATTCTAAGAATTACATTATCCTTTAAAAATACTCCTAAATCAAGTTGGTTTGAAAATTACTAACATTATACAATAGAAGAAATAGATTTTGCTTTATTTTGGCAATTTTATTGCCTTGTATCTGAGAAAAGGAAACATCAAAATTTAGACTGACTCAATCAAGCATGTTATACAACTACTGAAGCATAGCCCAATAGCAATAATATTTCTCAGTGACTCCTCAAACCTTCACAGTTGACTTAGAAAAATCACACCCTCCTCAATTCAGAAAGCTCTTAAGTCAAACTGAAGGCTGAGTATCTTTACATACTTCCCCTGTACTTTTAGCTCTTGAAAACTCATTGCTTTTCACCATTGCTGGAGACAGAACATTGAGCTGGATGGCCAGCTCCTCCGGCTGCAGGATTCCTTTTGGTTTCGCCTTAGAAAAAAAAATCAAAGTGATGGTAGGACAAAAAACAGACCTTGATTTATTAGTTTGCATTTTATGAAGACCTCCTTTAAGGAACACATTCAAGCTTTGGTAATAGACAAGCTCCCAGAGGAAAACGGGGACCTCCAAGTAAGTTGTAGCAGGATTTCAGAAAAAAAAAGTTTTTCCCTAATGGAATATCAGCATTCCATACTGTTTATTTGGAAATTTTTGCTGTGGCAAAAACCATAACTTATCTCAGAAGACACATTTCAAGAACACCTACTCTTAAAAAAATATTACAACTTTCCCAACTAAGCCAAGTCATAG